ACTGTTTAGTACATTTTTGGTAATATCCTCTTGGCGTGGCTCGGTACTTATACATCCCGCCATTATACATGTTATTGTGATATCGTCATTTTTGTATTCTTGTCTTTCATTTTTGCTTATGTGCTTTGTCTATGTGTCATTTTGTTTTTCTTTGTTGACATAATTGTTTGTTTTTATAGTGATTAAAATTTTAACACAACGTTGACTGCTGTACCCCTATTTTTGACATTGTTACTTGTTATGTCTGTTTGTTTTGTTCACATATTGTTGTCAATATAATGGAATTGTATGTGACTGTCATACAAGTGAGAGATTTAGCTAGCTATAAAACCAGGTTTAATCCACCATTTTCTACATAAGGAAATGCCTGTACTAAGTTAGGAATATCACAGTTGTTTTCCCTTCGTTTGATGTGTTTGAGCTTTTAATTTTGCCATTTTATAAGGGACTTTCCGTTTTGAATTTTCCTTGTTCGGTATTTTTGTTATTTTACTTTTTACTGAAAGCTAGACTCAGTTCAAAGCAAAGTACATATCTGATAGTACTCGCATTTACTGAAAGCTAGTCCAAAGATAATAACAACAAATAAAAAATCATGTATTTAAGTCAAGAATATCAATCAGTACACACCCAACATCCAATTGATTTAGTGCAAAGTTGTGATTAACATGATTTTGTGGAATGCTAAAATATAGGTATCGACACAATATAGGACCGTGCATATGTGTATAGCAATAATATTTAGTTGGGTTTTAATTTATTGAAAACAATATAAATACTTTTACAAATAAAAACAATATTCAAAGATCACGTTTATAGCATGGCATCACGTAAAATTGGTAACCTTTAAGAATAAGTTTATTTAAAGGATCGATAAGTTTGCTCGGATCGTATTCAAAGTTACGGGCTCGATAAACAACATCACCGGAAACATTATGATGTGCTATCCCGTTTGTAATAAGTTTTCAAGGTACAGCCAAACTTTCAAACCAAATCTTTATATCCATGAAAGAATTTAGTAAAGGTTTTAAGTAATTGGTGATAGCGAAATCCTTGACTTTAAAATTTATCAGTAATACATAGATTCTTCCATTGAATCCAAAACGTCACTACAGATACGGGTAAAAACGTATACATTTATGCTGTCAAGCAGAACGTTTACAGCTTTAACCATCTCGTCACACTTCCAGTAAGTATATCTAGCATATTTACATTTCTCATTAAAGAAGAAAGCATATACATGATATATGTTGCAGCAGATTATGCAATCAGATTTTTCAAACAACCATTTAGATAAATAAGAAAACTTGTGCTTGATTAAACTATGTGGAAGTGAAGTATAGAGAGCTGAAAAGTAAAAAAAAATATCCACCATATTAGAAGGACCATCAAAAGTAACCAATATATAGTAGGGACCTTCAAATTACTTTATCATTGATTCGTGTTTAATGATGAAATATTGTTGTATGTCGTTGTCATTTGTAGATCCGATCTTGAATTGTATTTCTACTAAATATGGCATTCTAGACAACAGGTAAGAAAATAATATAGTTTAGCGTAAACAACGGATAGGGTGACAGTCACTTGATTGCGGAAAACTTAAATCGGAACCTAGCTTTATATAATATGTTAGCTCATCGCTTGTGCTCATCCGTGCAAAAATAAATTAAAATGTCCAAACAAATGCTAAGTTGGTGCACATGAGAAAAGGTTGTTTTGTTGGACAGGCATGGATGGGCGAGGGGGTATATTTTCATCATAAAAAGAACAGAATATTGTGTTAGGAGAAATTCTAATGAGATCCAAAAGTAGAGGGACAAATCATGAATGGAGTGATAAATGTAAAGTATCAAAATATTTTGAAATTTTCCACTAGCAATTTTTAAAGCCATCAAAACTTCAATCACAGAAGGAGTGGCTAAATCAGAAAGAGTGGCTAAATGGCGAAGTCACGTTGAATACTCAAAAATCAAACTATCTTGTAGCAAATCACCCAGCTTAAGAATGCTATTTGTTAGTTTAATCTTAAATTTAACAAAAGTTCCAAATAATCGTGTATACCAATTAGTTTTGTCCCATCTCTAAGGCTTTGTCCCATCTCTAAAGCACGGAATCTGTTATTGGTGTTGCTGGTGGAGATGGCAGTTTTTTTCTAAAGACAAACATATATTTTACAACTCTAACAATCCATGTTCAAGGCGTGTTTAAATCTATTTTATTTTCTTATTTTTTGCTTTATAAATTTCAGATCCCGCCCGCCGACCAAGATGGCCGACATGGCTAAAAATAGAACATAGGGGGTAAAATGCAGTTTTTGGCTTATATCTCTGAAACTAAAGCATTTAGAGCAAATCTGACATGGGGGTAAAAATGACATCAGGTTAAGTTTTATGTGCCCTGATATTTCAGACGAATCAGACAATCCGTTATTGGGTTGCTGCCCCTGAATTGGTAATTTTAAGGAAATTTTGCAGTTTTTGGTAATTATCTTGAATATTATTTTAGATACAGATAAACTGTAAACAGCAATAATGTTCAGCAAAGTAAGATCTACAAATAAGTTAACATGACCAAAATTGTTAATTGACCCCTAAAGGAGTTATTGCTCTTTATAGTCAATTTTTAAAATTTTTTCATAAATTCTTGTAATCTTTTACAAAAATCTTCTCCTCTGAAACTACTGGGCCAAATAGAATCAAACTTGGCCACAATCATCATTAGGGTATCTAGTTTAAAAAAAATGTGTCCGATGACCCCGCCTGCCAACAAAGATGAACGACGTGGCTAAAAATAGGGGTAAAATGCAAGTTTTGTCTATTATTTTGATAACCGTTATAAATAGAGGAAATCTGAAAAGGGTAAAATTGTTCAGAACGTTGAGCTCTACCAATTCTCCATATACGTCAAAATTGTCAGACGATTTCCTGTAAGAGTTATTGCCCTTAAATGACAAATGTTACCACTTTTTTCGATTTTTGCCTATTATCTTGAAAACTATAATAGATAGAGAGAAACTTTAAATTGTAAAAATGATCAGAAGGACAAGGTCTACAAACTTATAGTCAAAATCGTCAGTTGACTCCTTATTAGCGTTATTGCCCTTTGATAACGATTTGTACAAGTTTTTTAGCGTTTTAGTCTTATATCTTAAAACTTATAATAGATAGAGAGAAACTTAAATATACAAAAATGATCAGCAAGACAAGATCTACAATTATAAGACAAATGGAGGAAATTGTCCGACGACTCCTTGTTGGAATTATTGCCCTATAATGACGATTTTTACCATTTTTTTTTCGTTTCGTATATGATAAAAATTATAATAGATAGATAGAAACTTAAATAATCAAAAATGATAAGCAAGACAAGAAAAACTAACAAGTCAAACTTTGCTGATATAATTAGTATACTGTTACTCTTTATAGGAGTTATTGCCCTTAAATTAGGAAATTTATTTTACCCTCTTTTGTGTTTGGAGCAAAAGCTAAATAAGATAGAGAGAAACTAAACAAACTTCAATGATCAGCAATATAAGATAAAAAAAACAGATATTTTTGTTATTAATTCTAGCTATTCTCGTCTACAATGTTGGAGAGTGTCCTTTGTTGAATATGCATATATAGACCAAGGTGAGCGACACAGGCTCTTTAGAGCCTCTAGTTCTTTTTATTTTTGTATTCTAGCAGTTTGATCCTTGTGATATTTCCGCTTTTTTGAAAACTTGTTTGAATAGTCTTGTGTCTACAGCCGCCGTCTCTTCTAGCGGTTTTCGAGTTGTCTCGTTATTTAGTTGTTTCTGTGTTGGAACATATTCGCTTGACTCTGAGTGTCCTATCTAATTAAAATATAGTTCTCTGATTTCGTTATACTAATGCTTATTTTAATCTGTCTAAAATTGATGATGTCATGCACAATGAATACTTGGAGCATGCTCTGTCAAATCTTTAGACTTTTATATTTTTTTTCTTATCTGGCGGCAGTATATCGTCTATTGGAGACGATCCGGTACATATTAAATTTGCTGATTGATCCTTTTTATAGACTTATATGTCCAAATAAATGATGTCATGCACAATGAATACTTGGAGCATGCTCTGTCGATTTGAATAAAGAAAGAATAGTAAATATAAAATAAAATTGATTATTTTATAGTTTGAGAGGGAAAAAAACCAAAACAAGTGAGTGAGTGAGTGAAATAACCTAAATGAAATGCAAGGAAGACCTGTAAATGAAGCTTTCAAATTGTGATGTGAACCTTTTACTTAGCGATATTTATATTTCTGTATCAATTCAAAGAGAGTACTATTTTCTTCGCCAGTTTAAATATCTGATCCAAAAGTAAAATATTTACATCAATCTGCTGCGGAAAATTCGCCAAAAAAAATAATTTATCCATACGCACTTGGCGTATGTTATTATAAATAGGACAAGTCAATACAAAGAGAGCTTGTTTCTGTAGCACCACAACAACAATTTTGGCGAATCCACTAAACTGGGACTATTATACTAACTATTAGTATAATAGTCCCAGCACAGTAAATTACGTTAAAAGTTAAAATGAATTTGTGTTTAAAGTACTTGAGTTCATTTGCAAGCGTGCATGGATAATTTGTTCAACATAATAATATGAGGGAACCTTATTTTGTTTACAAATATGTTTTTTTTTAAATATTGAAGGATACTAGAGTATTTTAAAAAAAAAAGGTATTTTATTCCATAATCATAAGTTCACTTCTGTTATTGTACAAAATATGAGCGCCTGTGATTAGTCAGTATCAACGCAGCGTAATGACTGTGTTTTGTGCAATCCAAATTATTTATTAAAAAATCAAATGAATGTTAAGATATGGTACTTTGAGTGCAATAAATACCAGTAACAATTAATATAAATTGATTTCTGATTACTCTTTCGTTTCTCACTAGCTCATGGTAGAATTATCTGTTTTAAACCAGTCAGATTTAATCACCGGTTTTTGACATGCCCAGGATAGTTGTCGATCACGTGATCAAAATAGAATAGACCTTATTCTGGAATTCCGAGTGTCGAATTCAAAAGTTGACAGCTAAATGTCTTGTTATATTGGAAGATAGCAGGTAAAGGACAGTTTTTTTATTACTCAATGCATTTAACTAAAGTATTTCAAGATAAAACAAAACACTGTAAGCGTAAGACATTGAGAAAAACATCGTAAAGTGACAAAAGGGTTGACCATCGATCAGCTGATCGTAAACAATATTTTACATTAAGTAAATTACTGCTGCGGTGTAGATTTACAGATAAAGTGTCACATAAGATGTTCTGATTTGTAAAAAGGAAGAAAGATTAGCACCCTGTTCGATCTATGTACCTAAAATGTTCATATGATGCCAGTGTCATATAGCAGCATATATAGCAGTGATTGTGCCAAAAGAGTAGTTTCCAGTTTCAGTAGTTTTCCTTAGAATTTACTGCATAACTCCCTTTGGGAGTCAGTCCTATCTGATATGCCTGAATAAATGAACTGAAGGACATCACTTGTGTCTCTCAGTTTGTACTAAGATACCATGCCTGTACCCTTTCTGTTTTACAGGTTGGGGAAAGTAAGAGGTCAAAGTAAGACACCATTAAAGAAAAATCCTTAAATGAGGAGGCAAACTGGGAAAATATAGAAGCAGATCTACAAAACACACTTAAAGAGCTTACTGATATGAACAATAACACCAAAAGTACTATAAATGAAATGACAGTCCGCACTGGGTACTTAATATCATCACCATGATCATAAAATCAGTAGAAACAAATATCCCACACAAAATGTAAACATACATGTATAAACATCACCTTCCCTGGGTGCACAACAAACTAAGAAAAATGGTGGATCTCCTGTAGTTGGTGATCGCAATACTGGTATACTAGTATTGTGCACAATACTGGTATAAAAATTTTGTACCAGTATTGTATTCCAGTATTGTACCAGTATTGTGTTTTTTTTAAATAAACAATACATATAGGTAATTAATCTTTTATCAAAGGTGTCACATATATATATGCATAATGATATTAACATATGACATGACAATTTTATATGGAATGATTGTATGTTTAACTGATGATGCCATTGATGGTACACTGTGATTGTAATCAAAGAAAGTTAAATCTTCTGATGTTTTTTCTTAAGGGAACCGTACTGTCTCAGCATTTTAAAAAACTTTTTACTTTCTTCAATGTTTTCTTCCAGCTCTCTCTTTCCAAGTCTCAATAGTATATTTTAGTGAATTTTATATTGACATCAATGCTGTTATAGCTTCTGTATCATCAGCATTGGTATTGTTTATTTCTTCTTCAGATGGCATTTCTGCAACCCCCACTTCCTATATTGATATTTATGTATTCAGTCTGTGGACTTTCTCTTACGCTTACTAGATTACAAGCTTGTTTAGATAGCACCTGTACGGCTCTCTTACTGTAGGAGTGCTTGTCTAGTATTAGTATTTGAGTATTTGTACCAGTAGATATATCTGCTACAAATTGTATTGCCCATGGTTCTGAATCAACTGCTTTAACTATATACCCTTAACATTCATGTAGACAAACTAGTTAATTTGATTATAATCAGGTTCCCCTATTAACATGATTAAGCAACTTTTAGTTTTTATGTTTAATGGATATTGATATCTTTTATCATGTTTATTGTGAAAGATTTATACATGTTACAAGAAAAAAAAGACAAACAAATGCTTAGAATCTTAGTATACATGTATTAAAATATCTGTAAAAAATATACGATGGCATACATGTAAATGCTGAATTTACAGTGTTATAGTGACTAATAATTTGCTTGAATTTATTAAATAATATCTCAGATAATAAAGCTTTTATTTTATCTAAATTGAATTAAATAAAATATAGAAATATGATAAAATTATTAGCAATTATTTATATAATTAACAATTGTTTGAATAAGATGAGTTAATTACAATAATTTTTGTTTATTTGTACAAGTATAGTAATTATTTTTAACTGGTTGTTAATTGATTTCACAATTATCCTCTATAATCTTTTTGAGTTCATTTAATCTCCCTTTGATCTTCAATATCTAATTTTGCTTAAAATTCATTTTTCATTATACACCTTAAAGTATAGTGAACAATACAACTACAATACTGGTATATCAGTAATGTACCAGTATTGTTGTTTTTAAAAAAAAAGTTACAATACTGGTACAAAATTTTTATACCAGTATTGTGGACAATACTGGTATACCAGTATTGCAATCACCAACTACAGGAGATCCAAAATGGTTAATAAAAAGAACAAATTGTGCTCCAAAATGAAAAAGGACAAAAAGCATTTGGAGAAATATCAAAAACTAAAACAAAGTCCTACAAGAACAGAGATGTGCCCATTTTACATATATATATATAGAAAAAATGATGACCTCCCAACAAATGACCCTGACTAAAGATACAGCAATCAATCAAAACCAAAGAAAATTTTCTCTTATATAAAATCAATTACCTGTGTCAATAAAACTCAGACTTAATAATTACAGACTTTGACAAAGCCTTTGACAAAATCCCACACCAAAGACTCTTTCTTATACACAGTTCATTTTCATTGTATACAAAATGAAACATTAAACTACCGGTAGATCTCTGCCTTTTGATCAAACCACACAAAAACAGTAGTCCTGGATGGAGAGTCATCAGATGTTGCTCCAGTTACTTCTGGTGTCCCACAGGGAACAGTTCTGGTATATATAAACGACCTACCAGAATATTTGAAATCCAGTAAACTCAGACTGTTCTCAGACGACAGTATTATATACATGATATACAAAACTATCAAATCTTAAAAAGATTGTGGTAGCCTTCAGTAAGATCTTGATGCTGCTGCGAAGTGGGAAGAAGACTGGCTGATGGCTTTCTATTCTGACAAATGTGCTTCAAACAAGAAAACTATTAAATATTATTACATCCTTCATAGTCATACCTTGGAATCTGTCTCTTCAGCAAAATATCTCGGCATTACTCTTCAAACTGACTTAAAATGGACTCAACATACAAATAATATTATTGCAAATGCAAATAAAGCCTAGGCTTTCTTAAAAGAAACCTCAAAACATCCATCACAAACATTAAGTCACTGGCATACCTAGCATTTGTCAGTCAGAACCTCGAGTACGCTTGCTCTGTTTGGAACTCTCTTACTGCTGAACACTATAAAACTTGGAGATGGTTCAGCGTGGTGCTGCTAGGTATGCCCATCATCTTTATCATAACACCAGGAGTGTTACAGACATGCTCAATACTCTCAACTGGCCTACCTTATAACAACGCAGACTTTAAACAAGACTCATACACATATAATGTTCTATAAAATTATACACCATATTGTCGCAGTACCCTCAGTATTACTTTTACCAACAGACAATAAAACTGCAAACCTTTCCATATACCATTTATTCATACAGATCTTACAGTTATCATGGTTATCTTGATGATATTTTTTCGTTAAATAATCAAGAATTTTCTAACTCTACACTAAAATTTACTACAAAAGGGACGATTTTTTGTTCCCTATTGTTAATTTTCCTTTTGGATGGTGATGTTCCTTTGGCACCATCTTACGGAGATGTTGTTTACCGTGCCCAGAAATTTAGAAACGATCCAGGTAAACTTATCAATCCTTTGAATAAACTAATTCTAAAAGGCTACCAAATCAACACTAATCATGGTAATTAGATCTTTGAATTTTGTTTTTATTGGTATTAATATTGATTTTGTTATCAGTAAATTAAAATCAAACTAACTATCAGTTTTTGATTCAGCCATGCTGGATCTATGCGATCACTCTGGTTTTGGAGATGGTGCAGAATACTAAGTTGAAGACATATCATGAAACTAATTATGTGTTTTTATGACTTGCAGAAACTTTCTACACCATTTTAATCATCAACTGCAAACTTTTGACATGTTATTTGCCCTTAAATTAAGAAAAGATTGGTCGAATAGTGACTTTATTTTAGATATACACTTGCATATAGTTCCTTTCTAAATCAAAATTTATGATGATTTACTATTTATGAATTTATTTGAAAAAGTATTTGTACATCAATTGAATCAGTTGATAAGAATTTTGAAAGTATTATATTAGTATCTTGTGCTTGTTTAAATTATTGTTCAATGAAATGTAGGTCAACATGTGTATTAAAATATCTAAGTTGATTCCCACACTTTTTTGAAATGGTATTACTCCAATTCTTTCCATAGGCAAGTAAGAGTCAGAATGATTATTAACTGTCATGATTTTCAAATAAGTATTAATTAAAAACAACCCCAGGCTTATAATTCAAAACAGTTAATAACCCATGACCTGTTACATAATTAAATAGACACAATTTATTACACACCTAACTGAATACACAAATTCTTGACCTCAATAGTAAACCGAAAAATGTATTATTTATTTTGATCTACACTACATTAAAATATTCTGTTAATTTTGCTAGCTAGCTGAATGATTAATCTGATGTGTTTTTTTTTTTAAAGAAAATACTTAAAATGAAAAAAATATGTATAAAAAATGCAAGCAAATTTTTTTCTACTTGTAAAATCAGTGCCATTATCATCTGACAGAAGTCGAAAATCAAGTTCTAATTAAAATTATCAGAAATTTGGTTGAAATATTAAACAAAATTGCATAACTCTTATCTGAGCATTTTCTGCAATAAAATTTATTTGTTTGTTTTACATTTATATCCCATTATATTGCTATTTAACAGTAATTGGAAATATCTCAGCATTAGGTATTTGTACATTCAGATTTGAATACAGGAAATGTATTTTTTTTTAATGAAGAATAAACACGAATTTAGATAAAAAATAGTTATTATTTTCTTTAATTTTTGTTGTTGAGAAAGTGCATTTATAAGGCCTCTTTCTGGAAATTATTAAACCTGTCATTTTTAATGGCATATAAAAAATATATTACTTGTTTGACGATTTTCCTTTCCATTCTTGTCAAAAATAAAATCTGACAGAGTCTAAAATTGAAAGATCGGTATATATATATCTATATTTGCATCAATATTGCAAAATTCCCTACCTTTGGA